TTAACGGCCCTGGAAGGAAGGGAGGGGCCGGTTGGGTGAGGGTGGACATGGCAGGCAGGCCTGCGGCCTCTGACGCTCTTGTGAACAGGAAGTCCAGTGAACTACCTCAGCATTCAGGAGCTTTTTACCCTTTTTCAGTTCTCAGAGTATGTAAGTCTTAAGATTTTGCCATCATAGGTTTTTTTTGTGTGTGAGTCTGAAAGGAGAGGCTGATAATGGGACTGTTAATGAACTTGGTTATTAAAGCCTGTCTTTAAGAGCAGAGTTTATAGTGTGGAGGATTTTCATTTTATACTTGTCCACTGTGAGGAAAAGATGTAGGCTAGACACCAGTCTTTCACCATTGTTTTGTGTGGGACTGTGTTTTATCTCAATTAACCTGCCCTCTTTTGTCCTCTTTGTGCCCCAGTGTTTCCTTCCTGGTTAGGTGATTTTAAAAGATACTTTTATAAATAGTTACAGCGTCTCAATTCTATATAAAACTTTTGGTATCCCAAAGGTTGTATGAGTGCCTACTGCCTTTCTTCCCCAAGAAGATGGAGAGAGGCCCCGCCATGCCACCCTTTACTTACTGGCCACGAATAGTAGAGCACTCCGGTCTCTACTGATACCTTTCTAGTCACAGACCCTTTTGCTGCTCAGTGTCTGGCACTGGAATATTCTTTATTTCTTCAAGGTTTTTTTTTGTTTGTTTGTTTGTTTTTGTTTTGTCTTGTCTTTTTGAGACAGGGTCTCCCTGTAGCCCCAGCTGACCTGGAACTCACAGAGATCCACCTGCCTCTGCCTCCCAAGTGCTGGGATTAAAGGCGTGCACCACCACGCCCGGCTATTTCTTTGTTTTTATAGGGAAGTCTCACATGTACTAATTTAGCCCCAAAGAAGATAATATTGAAGCCAGATTTTGATCACCAAGATGCTATGGTTTATAAAAATCAATGGTAAAATAACTGTCTTGTTGGTACAGAATTCCAGAAATTGTGGAGGAGTGTCACTGTGGACTCAATGGATGAGGAGAAAATTGAAGAGTATCTGAAGCGGCAGGGTATTTCTTCCATGCAGGAATCTGGACCAAAGAAAGTGGTGCGTAATTGGTAGAAAAGCAGTTTACTCCTCTTTTCAGAACTGTCAGCTGCTTCCTGTTCTGCTCTCTGATAAGCAGTGATTTGGCCAGATGAAGCAGATCATGTCTGGATGCTGCATGCTGCTCCCCAGGCCTGAGAGAGTTTTTCCATCACTCTCCAGCCTATCCCAGCAGTGTGACTCTTTTTTTTTTTTTTCTGGTGTTTTTTGAGACAAGGGTCTCCCTGTAGTCCCAGCTGGCCTGAACTCACAGAGATCCACCTGCCTCTGCCTCCCAAGTGCTGGGATTAAAGGTGTGTGCCACCACGCCTGGCCCCAGTGTGACTATTGAGCTCCAGCCACACCCCACTCTTTTCTGGGACTCAGTGTTGTCCATCTCTCACCTCTAATCCATTGCATGAACTTGCATACATACACTTTGGCTCTTTTCAAAAAGGAGCCACGTCTTCATCTGGTTGGCCGTACTTTTATGTGTATGAGTATTTTTGCTGCATTTAAGTACACC